TTTACCAAAATGCTCCTGTTTGTGCCAGGCACGACTGGGAAAATAGCACGATTCTAGCAGAAATTTCCAACCCCGAACACCATTCCCCTAGAGCAAAGGAGACTTGCAGGTGATTTCATTTGATTAATTTAAAAAGAGCTTTTTCCAGCTGCTTGCAACCACCCCGTAACAGGCTGCAGGAGCCCACCACGGCCAGCCTGGTGCCATGGAGTGAGGCTGTCAGGACACCTCCTGCAATGCTTATGCCGAGCAACTTTATGGGGCAGCTCATGCAAAAGGTGCTTTCTGGGAATAGGAAGCTTTGCTGCTTAATTTGCACTTAATTGCAGCGATTGCTGCACACCTGCAGGAGGGTGGGTGGGTTTTACCACCCATGGCTGCCACAGTTGCAGGCGCTCGATGTGCTTCCTTCACCGCTGCTTGGTGAGTTTTTACCTCTTGCTGAGAGTTTGGGGGTTTTTTTTTGGTTGGTTTGTTATGGGGTGGGGTGGATTTTTTCCATATTTACCCTGTTTAGTGTTGCTGGTTTGGTCTTTGGCTGTGACTGTCTGTGGGTGTGTGTGAGGGGCTGTACACAGCCCCCCGGGTGGCAGTGGGTCCTGGGGTCATTGCTGCTGGTGGGTTCCTGCGTGTGCAACACCTCTTGGGGTGGGGGGCTCGATAACCCAGGGCTGGGGCTTTGCTGTGCCAGCTCCATGTCACTGGATGCCTGACACCCCCTCCTGTCTCCAGGCTGGAAAATGGCAGTGGGGTTCAGGGGGCAAATAGGTGGGTGCTTGCTCTGGGCCCCCGAGGTGCTCGGGGAGGTGAGGGGGACTTACGCTGGATGCTGAAGCAGAACTTCTTCTGCTGGTAGGAGATGTAGCTGGAGACGGCCCCGATGAGTGCCATGGCCAGGGCGCTGGCGATGCCGGCAATCGTCCCTGTCTCTGCTACTGTGCCTGTGGGGTGCAGAGAGCAAGGTGCTGTGTGGTGGGGACACACACACCATCCATCCCATCCTGTCCCCTCCCATCCCATCCCGCTGCTGACCTCGCGGCCACGGTGGTCCCTACCTCCGCCATAGTTGCTGTCGGTGCTGTCCCCGGCACCTGCAAGAGACACGAGCTTGTCAGTGGCCCAGTGCCCCTCTGCGCCCCCCGCCACCATGCTGGGCAGCCCGGGAGGGAGCGGGCACCCAGGAGAGGGGCAGCAGTGTGGCCCCAGGGGCACCCCTGGGCTGGGGGTGAGCACATGTCCCCGTGGGGCACAGTGTCCCTGCTGCCCCACACCTCTGCCTGGCTGCCCGGGGCAGCTCGTCGTCGTCACTTCTCGGAGGGGTCTGAAGCTGCTCCTCTCTCCCACCATGTCTGAGCTGGGAGAAGCAGCCACTCCTGCTGGAAGCTGCAGTCCTTACCGAGTCACTGAATTTATGGAAGGAGGTCACCATTGTATTAATGCCTCCGATGCGGTTTGTCCTTGCACGGAAATTCATTAAATGTTGATTGGGCTTGTGGTGTTCATCGCTTTACTCGACTGCTTTTAATATTTAATGCTGTGGATCCTCGCAAACGCACAGGCTTATCCGATCATCGCTGGTTTTCCTCCGTGTCTCAACCATTGGTGGTTGCTTGGTGGAAGGCAAATGAAGGCTTGTGCCCTCTGATAGCACAGGGACGGGCGTCTGTTTTCGAGGTGATAGGGGAGATGGGGGTCCCATCTGCCCTGGTGGCAGCTGGAGCTGCAGAGCCTCCGCGGGATCAAAAATAAGCACCTCCAACTGCTGGCACAAGGTGTGACCATGGAGGCCAAAAACTACGTGTTCCCCTGGCTCCACAGCCGAGACCCCTCTTCCCCGCACGTGTGCCCCCGTCGAGAAGGCGAGCATCGCTCTGCGCAAGGTGGTTTCTAGGAGTTTGGCTGATGCGGTCATTGTTGCCCAAGCTGCAACTGCTAAAGCACGTGAATGTACGTAGGTCACTGCTTACCTTTCTTCTTGTCTGGGCTGTAGCCGCCGTCCACAATGCTGGCCAGGTCGTCGTCTGAAAGTGCTTTAAAAATAACAGAAACAAACGGTGGTTGGCACCTGAAAGGAGACGCGGCCCCGCCGGGAGGTAAGGGCCGTGGGCTTCACAGCTGCTCCGCGGCAGCGGGGGGGCTCACCCTCCATAAAGCCAAATTCACCCGGCAAAACACCAAAGCCACCTTCCTGGGAGGGCAGATGCAGCCAGAGCTGCTTAGAAAACAACGTAACAGGAAGGAAAAATAGCGTGTGGCTTGCTTGGGATGACAAGGATCCCAAAACCGGAGTGCTTCTGGATGGGCAGGGCCTGGAAACGGGACTTCTGGGGGCTCCACCTGCAAGCATCGCGTACCCAGGGCGGGACCGGCCTCCCCCTGCTCCTGGGGAAATGTTTCTCTGCTGGGCAGATGGAGGCTGCTCTATTCATTTGCTTATTTTCTCTAAAAATCTCTGGCTATTTTGAAGAGCTGTGTGGGGCTTTCTGTGCAGCAGGGCCCAGAGCAGGGGTTTGCACGCCCATTTAAACCAGCAGCTCCCAGTCAGTTGGCTTCTCCATCCCCAGTGAGAACAGGGACCGGTCAATAAGCAGTTCTGCTGCTCCCACCATAACCAGATGTTAACAAAATGCTTAACCCCAAACTATTTTAGGCTCATAAAAGAGGTGATAACTGATTAAGTCTAGCTCGAAAGAAATAACCCTGCATCAAAATTTAAATACTACTGTTTTGTTGTTTTTTTACTGAAATGATGGATGTATTTACAAGTTCATGAAATGTTTTGGCTGCTCAGCCTCGGCTGGCAGTGGAGGAGGGAGGAAGGAGCGGTTTGTGCGTGCGGTGGCCATGCCGGGGACCGGTGTGCCCTTGCCCAGCCTCTGGGGAGCCCCTGGCAGTGCCAGCCCGGCCTGGGGTCCGGCAGGCAGGGAGCTGACTCGCCTCCTTCCCGCAGGGACAGAGCAGCTCCAATGGAAGAACTGAGCATCAGGGTATCTCGATACTGGTGAAAAAGTTGTCTCGGACATGGTTGTAATGGGAATGTTTAATTCGTGCAGGATAGGTGCAGAGAAAGAGGGGCTGGGAATCAGCAGCTGAATGAGCGGAGCTGTTGAACCCCTCAGCTCCGGTCCCAGAGGGAGCCTTGGGGCGCAGCAAAGCGCGTGATGGGAGAAGAGACCCAACACCGGGCCAGCAAAAGGCTCCTTCTCTGATGCTGTGCCTTGGGAAGGGATACTTCTGCCTTAACAGCCTGGAAGAGACTGCCTTATTCACCAGCTTACCACAAAAAACAGATTTATGGGCTTAGTAACGAGTGCACAAAGAAAAAAAAAAAACACAAACCCACCCTGACTACACCAGAACCTGGAGAGGTCCCAGGCAGTCCAGGGTGCAGCAATGCCGGGGGAACGCGTGTGCTGGTTTGTGACCGGTGCCACGTTCCAGCGGTTCAACGCCTCAACCTTTCCTGCAGGAGTCTGAAACCTCAACAAGCCCAGAACATCAAAGTGCAGACAAGTCACCTAATTAATACAATCTAATAAAATATCTGACTATTAATTACATGTGTGAGCAGGGTATACAGCCATCTCGACATCAATAAACTAGCCGTGTAAAGTCTGTTTTCTAGCTCAAGTGCTCAAGGGAACAATCCTTGCAGACAAATGATTCATTCACTGGAGTATTTTAGAGATGGAAAAAAAAATCTCCCAGCCCATAGCGTCTGTTATGCCAGGACTTAAGCCTGCTCTAGATTTATGTTTTGGCAATGACTGCGAACCCCAACAGCACATGCCCTCGGTTAAATAGCTGTCAGGTACGGCGACAAGGGGGAACTTAACACAATCACCGCAATTTAATGGGTCAGAAGAGACCCTGGGAAAGAAACCTGCAGACAGGCAACAGGTCATTAGGCAGAGCCCCTCTCTACCACAGACCGCTGAGGCAGGGGCTCCTTCCCTCCCCGGGCCCCGGAGGAAGGGGCTGCGCTGCCTGCGGAAACATTCCCCCCCCGGGCGGGCAGGGCAGGGGGGTGCTGGCTGTGGGCAGGAGCCTTGGACAAGGGAGCACCTTGCTTCCCCCCTCACCCCGTCGCTTGGCGGGGATGGTGTCTGGCAGTGAGAGCCCATTCCCGGGAGGGGCTGGGGAGGATCTCCTGTAGGTCCCGGGGGGACAACGTGGCTGGTGGGAAGCAGGATGGAGGGGGAGGTCAACGTACCTTCACCTGGCCTTACGTCTGGCCTCCCAGCATCTTTCCTGTCGTTCTTATCATCAAGGGCATCAGCCAAGTCAAAATCCATAGGATTCTTTGCTATAAAACAACACGGGGATTAGCAGTGCTGGCCACAGGCTGGGGAACTCTGCAATTAATTAATTAATCAAGGAAATGCTCAGCTTTGCCAGGGAAAAGTGCCGGTGAAAAAGATGAAGCCCCCAACACAAGCACCTCCCAGTTTCGCTACGCAGCATCATGGTAGATCTTCCAAATCCATCCCATTCTGTGCCCCTGCACCACTGTGGTGACAAATGTGTTCTTCCCGCAGAAACACTGTGGCTCGAGCACGAGGCAATCGGATAAACC